AGGCTGTGCAGGTCTTGGTAGGAGGAATACCTCTCGACCTCCTGCTGAGAGAAGACTACTACCGTTATAAGATTAGGAGAGAATGCTTAGCGGCTCTACCGGATTACCTCCGAGTGAGAATAAGAGATGATCCAAGAAACTGGAAGAAGATTCTCCGGGAGGATACAGTAGAGGACTGGAACCGACGGTGGTTGACGACTCCCAAAGGAGCTACTCTAAGGAAGTACTTCCCCACCGTCAGTTCGCGACTAGAAGCGACTTGGGTCCTCCCGGACTACTGGATTTCACAGATTCTCACGGGGCATGGGGGTTTCCGAGCAAAGCTCGTTCAGTATGGTATAAATATCGATCCCCTATGCCCAAGTTGTGGGGTACCGGAGACCGCTGAACATGTTGTGCTTACCTGTACGGTCTATGAGTCACTGAGGGCGAAACTGTTGAGAGAAACAGGTCTCTTTGTCCTAACAGAGAGAGATCTTCCTCAACTTATGAACAAAGAAAGATACGATCATTTTAAAAGTTTTATATACGGATGGAAAGAAGTTGTTCTACCAACCCACTTCTCTTTCGGTAGAAGAAGAGAAGCTGCACCGGGGAGACCACCAGAATAAGAATAAAAGTATACCAGATGCAAGTGAAGAGAAGAGCAAGCTGTGTGCACAGCTCAGAAAAATAATGTAATAGTCAAAAATGCAGCAGTGGGTTGTTATGTAACAGTAACATCCCACTACTGCAAATACCCGTATTGCCTTCAGGCAGGGGAGGGTTGAAAATAAAATAAATAAATACATCGAAGGTAATTCGTTGTGTGCGTGTTCAGAATGAACTGTCATCGTTTTTCCTAGTGTATTAGATTCAAATATCTCTTAACAAAACCTTCGTTAAACTTTTTATTATTAAATGCTGCTAGGGAGGTAGCAATTTTACAAATTATAAAACTGTTGATTCAATTGGACTACCCGTTGCTCAAATTGTATAACTGTAAGTAAATAAGATAATTAATAAATAAGTAAATATTTCATATTGTAATATTTTTTATTAAAATGAAATAAACGGAACGAAACCATAGTTCGGACAAAGCTTTAATTTCTTTAAAATGTATATACATCGCTCCTTATTGCCAATTTATATCCTTATATTATTATAATTATTGTTACTGGCCAAATAAGGGAAAAATAATTCTGGTGATAAGAAGTGTGATATCTTCGTTACGGTCCCTCCCGCTTTGTATATGTAAATTAAAATATGACACGGTCACTATTGGTACGAATATGATACTTATTTCATGTTTTTCTGTTTCAGAGGGAAAATGAAAAGAAGTTCATTAAAACAATTTTTATATAATATAGATATCTTAATATATGTTTTAAAATATTTTCTATGCCATCAATTTAGTAATCGTTGAATACAATTTGTCAAGATGTTTCCATATTTCTTTATTTATGATCATCAATCGAACATAATTTCGATAGTTGCGTCATAATAGACATAGTATTCAGCTGTGTAAGATTTGTAATTGGTGCCCCGAGACACTCCCAAGTGTCTCACCACTACACTGAGTTAAAGTGGCTCTTCCCCTCCATTCGAAGACAATATTTCCTAGGAACGTTCTTCTATCAAATCATCAACAACCATCGTCCTCCTTACGCCTACAACCTTCTACAATTCAAGTCCTCAGTCCACTCCCTAGTCACAAGATCTTGACCTTCCGACCTTTACTTACATTCCTTCTCACAGATCTACCTTGTTACAAAACTCGTTTATTGCTCGCTCTGTTAATTTCTGGAATTCCCTTCCTATCAAAATTCGGCGTTCTCCCTCCCTATCTACATTTAAAACCCTCCTATTCCAATTTCTATCCCAAAATATAATTATATGTAAATTTACATATTATTCAAAATGATATATTTACATATAATTCATCACTCAAATACTTACTATCAGATTCATCTTCTTTTTCTTTCTTTTTTTTCTGCAGAAACACAGAGTTTATTGCTAAGAAGAATGTAACTTAGTTTTTATTTATTTATTTTTTAAATGTATACTTATGTTTTACAACTGTACATAGTTTTAAGTGTCTTGGCATGGTTTCAAGTATTTTGTATATAGATTTTTTTTATTTTGTACATAGTATGTTTAATAAATATTTTCTTTCCTTTTTTTTTCTCTTTATTTTTACTTTTTATGTTTGTTTTTACTTAAACCAGATATAATACTTTAATTTTTACTTTTTTGTTATTCTAAAGGGACTTCGTCCCAGAGTAAAATTATTTTCTATTCTATAGTAAATTCGAAGAAAATTGAAGAACTTTCCGAAGGACTACACACACACACATATAATAAAAAATAGTAAAGTAATAAATTCCAAAAGTTTTAAAATTATTTTAAAAATACAAGACTTATATAATTAACTTAGTGATATAGTATTTACGTGCAGAGTAATAATTACTCTAAGTTAAGCTTGTTCCTAAACATTCAAAGTACTTATGCAAGGGATCACCCTTATTAAACTTTTTTGAGGGGCATCAAAGGTAGCAGGAGACCTCGAAGTTTACAAGAGGGTTCCGTTTACGAACAAGTTATATGTCCAGAGCGACGTTAACATTAACAAAATAATCTAACCTATATATATCAAATAATATCAGGAAAATACTTAACATAGAATAATCCAGGAACCCTATGAATAAAACTCAGCTCATAAAACATATAATTATAATTTTTTTAAAATCATTTCTATCTTAAATAATTTTAAAGACTGAAAAAAACTAGAAATGATTTTTCCTTGAATAATACAGAACCCTTTGCTGCTGATTTATAATAAGCGACCGTTAAACCATCACATCACAATATTTTTTTTCCTCATAAAACTAATCTCTGAATTTTGAGTGTAGTCTAGAAATCTGATTTTTTATACCAAAACCAAGATACGGCTTAAAAAATTAAAGTTAAGTTTTAAGTATTTACAAACTAAAGAAGTTTTATAGAATGTACAAACAAGAATTAATATAAGAGAAAATATGAGAAGTTTAAAGAATGAACAAATGTCGTTGTTTATTTGGACTATCTGGGTTTTATTTTTCCTGTGCTTTTATATGAAATCTATAATTGTTTTATCCATTTATTGTTTTTCTTCTTATTAAAAAAAAAAATTGTATGACGTGACGTGACAGATGTGGAAGGTTGGAGAGAAGAAAAATATTGCGAAGTAACATTCCAACAGCTCTCTAGGCCAGTAGGAATGAGATTTATATTATCCCTACACTTTTCAGCCTTTAAAATGGTTTAAAGATACTTCATATATTAAAATTGAATCAGACAAGTATTTATAAAAGCTTTATTTATTCTAATCAGTAATTAGATGTATAACACCGAATCCCATTTAAATGGTTTCGTGATAATCTAGTATTATACATAGCTATAAGATCTTCAGCGGAGTAATCAAGGTGAATATACCATCAGAAGCTAAAAGCTTTGATAATAATCACCTGGATTAATAACGGAATGGACAACAAATTGATTCAATCAAAGATTCGCTTCAGCTATTTCCAAATTTACCAATAGTCACTGAATCGTAAGTTGCAATATATTTCATCTTTTGTCGAGTGAAAGCCAACAATTACAAAAGTCAATGCTGCATGTTTAAAACGGTAGTTATTTTGGTAAAAGAATGTGTCTCTTCACAATTAAAACGAGTGTAAACACTCATAGTGGTTTTGTGTTCACAAACGAACAGCAATGAGTTCTCTTGTGTTTTGCTCCATCTATCACAGCTAATTGATGCCACAGCTAATCAACCTGGACCTTCAATTAATTTTTTTTTTGCGTGAGCAAGTGTTTATAATCGGGGATGGATGGCGGTTCATTTCTGGAATAAGTTATTTAATTGTTATATTATACAAAGTTGAGATAAACTACAACAATCCTATGAAAAATAGTCCTTCAGGTCGCCATGGACGTGATAGGAATAAATTAGATGAATTATTGAGCGAATCGCATTGCAACAACTTTGGACGATATCTGCTAAGTGAAAAACGGAAGACAAATGGCTAAATTAAATAAGAAACGAATTTCAAGTTAGGGTTATAATTTTATTAGTAAGGTTTTGATGTTTAAAGACTATGATGGCTATTTTAGTTCACTGAAAATATAAGTTTATCTGACTGAAAGTGATTTGATACAATGGTTATTAATTAATTTGAAAAGGTTAGGAATAAAAAATAGATTTTAATAACATTATAAAAATGACGAAAGAGTTGTTTATTAGGATTTACGCATTCAATGTAAAATACTTTGTTTCATTTTTAATATATAATACGTACACTGATAGTGAAAAAGGTCGTATATAAAAAGAAAAGTATTATAAAAAAAAAACAATTATTCTTTATTATTTATTAGTATAATTTCATACTTTTATTTCTCTCTGGTATTTTCCATAATAGCAGGCTACTTATTGTAGTTGCAGACTACGATGACATTTTTAGAATAAACATATATAATTTTTACATACGATTTTTTGCACTAACAGTAGTTATATTTCTTCAACATCTCTTATCATTACATAATGTTATTATATATAATAATATTATACAATTTTTTATTGCTTTTCTTTGTCTATCAGCATCTTGTAAGTTGTGAGGAGTTCGTAACATTGCAAGAGAAAGATTAATAAACGGGCGATATAATGATGTGGATTATATTATATCATATCATAAATACAAACTTTCTTGATTGCATTCGGCTTGTGTAATGTATTCGTAAATGATGAAACTTCATACGATAAAAACTTTTTGAAAAACAATCTCAACTCTATTTGGCACGTCAGTATACATGACTTCACTTTCCAATTTTTTCTCACTGTAATTAACCATTTCTTAAAATTAAATTTGTGTGAATATTTTCGTTTGTGTTTATTCCTGTTTTGTGAAGAAAATTCGTTATGGCACAGCTCTAGGCCAGCCGTACATATAATTCCAGACTTGAATTAATGAAGACATACTAACCTTGATTACAGCTTCTGCAAACTCATCTAATCGGCCTCCATTCATGACAACGAGGTGCAATACATTCCTGTCGTTGGAGTCTTTGAGCTGTATGTTAGCCTTGAGACCTATGAGGGTGAGCACCGTGCGCCAACCTCCGCGAGATCCAGCTAGTAACAAAGGGGAACGCTTCTCCTTGTCCAAGGCGTTTATATCAGCGCCCTGTAAGTTGTAAGGGGTTCGTAACATCGCAAGAAAAAAAATCAAAAGACGCGTGATAGCTTGCGGCTAATGACAAAAGAAATGCCGAATACTTACCTCTCCGATAAGATATTGGACGATTTCAGCCCTGTCGAACATGGCAGCACAATGAAGTGGAGTCATCTTCTGAACATCGCAAGAACTGAGACATATCGGCTTCTCGGCTGGCTGGAGGCCGAACATGAGCTTGACGATATCGAGGGCTCCCTGGGCGCAGGCGAGGTGGACAGGTGTCGACAGGTCGTGCTGCTGGGTGGAAATCTTGGCGCCCGATCTTAGGCACAGCTCAACCGCCTGAAAGATATTGTACCTCATCATAAATAACTAATTAATTACTTAAGATAGTAACTTTATAATTCAAAATTAACAAATTTTTTAAATACAATATACAACAATCAGACATTAATAAAGGGTTGAAAAATAAATCCGACAAAAAATTAGTAACACTAAAATAATGCCATGTACAGTATTGGGACAATTTATTTATTTATAACAGATTAAAATGCGATATAATGTAATTAAATTGGAATGTGAAGGACTCTTCAAATCTTATGGCCTTGTTGCAAACTTTATTGATTTTTCATATTGAAATAATTAAGCAAACAATAGATATAAAAAAGAAACACAGATCATATTGAAACAAGGTTTAAAGAACAAATAAGCAAAATGTCATTGCACATAGTAAGTACAGTGCTTTAATAAATAAATCTTGCTTGGCGTTACAACTCTTGCAGAGTCAGCCTCCTCTCGCCCCTAAATTTGATCCACCAGTCATCTCTGTTGGTCACTGCTATCCTTCAATTGAGAATACCCAGATGGATGGATCTCGAATTCACTACACACCATCCATCCATAGCAACTGGTGGTTTTCCACTCTTCTGGTGGCATAGATTTTTTCATCTAATATCTTTCGAGGTATTTGGTTTGTTGTCAACCTTGCAAAGCCCACCAATCTTGATAAATCTAATAATATTAGGTTCCTTATAAATTTCCCCTAATTCTATGCCACTTCGTATCCTCCACAAACTTATTTATAGGATCAAATATTTTTCACAAAGTCGTTCAAGTTGAAGGAGAAAGATTCTTGTACTTTTGTTAGCGTCCAACATTCAGGGCCATAGGTTATCATGAGTCGGATCAGATGTACGGGAGAACGCACTACGGAGAAGGTACTACTTTTTAAATGTCTATGAAGACTAAAGTAGGATTAATAGGTTGCCGAATTTTCTGAATCTTCTCCTTTACTTCATTGTTATAGTTTACCTAGTATATCAAATAAAATCCTCTTATATAACGCCTCCTTCATAAAAAATCGACGTAAGTTGCGTCGCATCCCTTGACAGCCATACAAATGATGCCAACGTAAAAGGTAACGTAATAGGAGGTTCTCGAATAGTACAAATACAAATTCGCAAGATATCAATCACATAACATAGAAGTGGGTAAATAATTCCTTACCTTGAAGTCTCCACTGTGGACTGCGGAATGAAGTGGCACGTTGCCTTCAGAGTCGTAGAAAGATATCATTTCATCTCTTTTGCAGCCCCGCTCTTCCCCCCATTGCAAGAACACTTCCATCGTTCTCGAGGATGCGTTTTTGGCTGCTTCGTGAATTGGGTAATAGCCATTGTGACAAGGTTTGCGAAGACAAGCAGTGAGGTCGGTTATCTGCGAATATAAAACACAATGTTTATTAAAAGATAATAAAGAAGGTTTTTTCCTAGATTTTAATTATCTCCTCAAAATAAAAAAAAAAAATATTTATAAGCGTACTCGAAGAAATATACGAAGAAAAACAAACAACGGAATGAAGAATAGCTATTAGAATTGTATTAAAAATAAAAATACAAAACGAAAATAAATATTTTTATTACAATAAAAATATAAATAAATATTTTTTCCCTATCTCTGGTTGTCTTATTGGAGATATATTCATAAGAAGATTTGTTTATTCTGCGTTTATAATAAAACTCTAAGCATACATTAATGAAATGTGTTGTTAATGGACCCGATTGAGTGGAACCTAATCTTTAACCTAAACTTATAAACTAACGTATATGGTGTGAATGTGCTGTTCTATCATTATTGCTATTGTCCTTGATTGAGACAGAATGTAATGTTTATAGTTTATAATATTTTTAGTTTACCAAAATAAAATATTAACAGTTTAAAAAAAATTACAATGATAACCAAATCAGCCACTCTACGCTTCCTTCTTAATGAAAGTAGCATTTCAAGACACTTGGAATAATTATGGTGCTCATTTGGCACCAGAAGTATCAGACGAACGAGTTCTTGTGAGGGTGTACATGTGGAAGTCGGCAGTCATTTATCGCTTTGGGACACGCTTACCTCAGCCGGACAGATGCTTTCAAATATTGTAACAAAAGAAAATATAATGAAGAATATTAAAATTAATGGTTTCTGTAATTTATATACAGTTAAGGAACTAGTATGCCTCTGTGGGGAATCCACCATTAGATATGTATCCTTCTTATACCTAATATATTTGAAGAATATATCCTATTAGGAAAAATATTGTATTCCCTTAAACAATAAACTGCTTTAAAGGAAGTTTATTTAACTCACAAACTTTTTGAAGCCCCACACTATATTATAACAACGATATTTAGTTAATGATAATACTAAAAATATCATTGTCTCTTTCTAAGTTATCAAAGGTCCTCAAGGGTTTAACGTTTCACGTATTCAATAGATTTTTAGTTTTCGTCGACTATAGAAAGTAATAATATTTTAAAAGCTTAAATGAGATTTAATAAGTATTCCAAGAAAACTTTGGTTCTTAAAAGGGTTATAAGTATATTATTCACTTTCGGGTCTTACGCCAAAGAAACTTTACCGGGTCTTGATGCCCGCCTCAAAATCCTTAAAAAATAATTTATCCCGTCTCATCGTAGCACTATCTGAGTTTAGAAACCTCCCACTTTTTCAATGACATTTATTGTAGTCTTAGGTGCAAAATTAGCATTTCTCACTTCTTCATGAAAATCTCATTTGTTAAAATCTATAGCTCTTAAGAGCAGACAAAGAGATTTATAATAACTTATTCTATTTAGAGTAGATTTCAAACGCTGTAAGCTCCAAATTTTATAAAAATACTATGTGGGATTAACAAAATTGTGGACCGTTAATTTAAATGTACGGTTACCACACTCATTGAAGGTTATACTTTTATGAGAAACTAGGTGGTATCCGCTGTCCGCCTAACGGACTGTTCATTTAATTGTACTTCTTTTTGCCCAAATTTTATAACTTTAATTTACATGTATTAAGTAGTACTGATTGTATTATTTTTTATCAACATAAAAAAAACTGAACGAAACCACAGTTCGGACAAATTTTCTTTTTTCTTTTTTTTATTTTAAATATTACACTTTGCGGCTTATTGCCAAATTATTATATAATTATAGTTATTCTTATTATAATTTCTTTATATAAGACCAACAATAATTTGAGCCTTTTTATTTCTAATATTTTTATTGTTCTTTACATTGTGCTTCCTTTTCTATTTCATAATAATTATAATTATATCACAATATAATATAAAGGGTGTTATGTATAATATAATAGTTAATATATTCTATTCAAGGGGAAATGTTTAGATCGAAAAACAGATGCTGTCACTTGGGTACAATCAAACTACGACCTCCAAATAAATAAAAACAATTTGCCTCACAAATTTTCAGTCTAAAATCTTTATATTCTATTAGGAGAGTATTAGGTAACAGGAGCTCAACACATATGTAATTAAATGAACAGATGTGGAGTTATAGAGCTAATACGAGTGCTACAGTCCTTATACTAAAATAAAATAAAATATGGCATACACTAATTTTGTTTTAATATAATATATAATAGATTATTCCTCCATCACCCCACAATAAAGATTACGATCTCGTTTAAAGCAGAGAGCAATGAACCTGGAGAAGTATAAATATCGAGGCGTTGGGGGAGCTCTCAGGGGACGATGAGTGGCTGTGAAGCCTCTTACAGCCTTCACTGTCACTTAGGGATGATGGATGCAGGCTGTATCTCAACACAGGTAAAGCGGCGAATTTTTTCTCCATCCTCAAGTTGTTACAGTCAATTACTCTGTTCATTGAGCCTGTCTGTTCAAATCAAGCATACAAAACAATTCTCAAAGTTCAACCAACTTATACTTCAGACGTAGAAAAATCATTAGAAGAAAAGCTTCGTATTTCATTCAATATTTGGCAAAGTCAGTTCAGTTTATTAGGTTATTCAAATCCTTGACAACGTAGTACACTTATGTGGAACTCACTGAAGACAATAATTAACTGGTTAAGACGATTAAAAACTAATTAATAAGACTTAAGAGGAACTTAACCGACGATACGGCCAACTATACATACTACTAAATAGAAAATCTAAACTCTCTATTGAAAATAAAATACTTATCTACAAGACAATACTGAAACCTACTTGGACTTACGGACTTGAACTATGGAGAACAGCAAAATTTTTTAACATCAAACGCATCCAATCCTTCCAATCCAAAGTCCTTCGAACAATAGTCGATACTCCTTTCTATGTAACCAACAAAACCCTATATCGTGACCTTAATATTCCTTTTGTCCTAGATCTATGAAAAGTTTTCCAAATACCATCAGAATCTAAAAAATCATCCAAATCCGCTTGTACAATCCCTATCTAGTTCCACTCATCCTTCCATCCTCCTCGAAGGTTGAAGCGGAAGTGGCCCAAAGATCTTTTGTAGTATATATCTTGGAGTTCTGACAATGGCCAGATTCCCCATTCAAGACATGAGTGTGTGTGGATAAAACGCTCTCGCTCAATCTCCACTAGCTTTAGCACCAGTGACGCGGTTGAGAGAGTAGAGCAGGGATCTCTTGGAGTCCTGCCTTTCCTTCTATAGCTGGAGGGACAAACCTGGTTTGGGGTTCCCTAACTGATTCTATATAGAGTATATGTATAGAGCATAGAGTATGGTTTGCAAGTACTACGAGACAGAGGCCTTCAGACCCGACTCGCTCTGAAAAAGATGTTGAAGAATAGTATCCTCTACATTGAAGAGAGGCTTTTGGAAATCTACAATGATTGTCTTGATAGGGGATACTTCCTCCCTCTCCCCCCCCAAAAAACATATCACCTTACCTTTTTATTACTTGAAATAATTAATTTTCTTCCAAAAATGCACTTACCCACAAACTTTTTTTCGTAAAAGAAAATTTTTTTCTATTTTTGTACCTGAAAAATTAGGGTATTGATATATATATACATATCACCGGTATGTTGTAAAAAATCACTAATTGTTGATGAAGCTATGAACGTTTTTGAGAACGTCGATCTTATTTTTAGATAGAAAAACATAATGTGTGCAATAAAATGACATAAATTCAAAGCCACAACTTGTTTTGATTTCACAAAGAGAAAATTCATCAAAGATTCTTAATGGCTTTTTGAAATAAACCTTGACGATATATTCTTTTTTTTTTTTTTTTAGAATTATGTCCATCGATAAACAACCTATTAAATACTTTGAATCAAACATATCGCAGGATCCGTAATATGGCACTTCATAATAACTGCAAATTGAAAAATTAACTCCAAGCGCACCATTTCGATTTGTTCATACAGACACAAACTAGTAAACTATATGCATAATATCAATAATTCCATCTCTCCAATTTAAGCTACGATAAATATAAAACAATGATAGAATCAAAGGAAAAGCATAAAAATAAAAATATGATTTATTAGATTTAAGAAAAATGAATTTATGAAATACTCGTAATACAAACAATACAATCAGAAGGAAATCGTAGCAATACAATCAGACCTCTGAGGGGTGGAAATGAAGTTACCTAAATTGACCCAGATAATTCGCTATTGAGAAAAGGATTTTCAACGCCGTATTCATGGGAGAAAGAGTTCTGGAATTTAATCCTTTCACTTCGTACAATACTATATATATATATTTGTAGTTAAAAGAAAATATGTACTATCGGTAGTATGATTTTAATTAAGAATTAATTTCTTCTATTCAAGAAAAAAATCCTTCTAAAAAAAAAAAATCTTCTTATTATGAAAATACAGAGATTAAGGCTATTCAGAAATTCATTACTTAATTTGAACGCAGAATACGCTATTTTTATTCCGTTCATGCAATCAATTAATATTCAACTACAATAATTTTATTTATTAATATTGTTTTCTGGTTTATGAAAAAAGGAAATAAAAAAAAATGCATGCACTTTTGTTTAATTTTTTATTCTTCCTCCATTTTTTTTTTATTCAAACTTTTATGGCACGTTAATCTAATGAATTATTTTGGCCGTATAATTTTCTAACATTTTTTGACTGCATATTTTACGGTTTTTATTGCATAATGTTTGGATCTATATGAAAATTAGGACTCTGGTTATAACTTAATGGAACGGGAAGGAATTTACCAAATCGGAATAAGGTCATCAGCACTTTCTGAAACTATTCCTACACTGATAAAAGGAACCGAGCATTCGAAGTTTAACCAATCGACAGTTTGCAGCGACCTTCGTCGATCCAGGGAGATTGGATGTAATCTACAACATGGGACCCGTCCTCTTCTCCCCCCCCCCCCGAACTAGTAGGGGCTAGATCCGCGGTTCGGAAGTTACGCAGGAACC